CTATCTCTATCTCTATCTATATCTCTATCTCTATCTCTATCTCTATCTCTATCTCCATCTCTATCTTTGCTTAACAGTTGACTCGTGAATAGTTAATCGCTTTGCTCTGATCCATTTCCCAAAATTGTATTCAAATCCTTTTTCCACGTGTATTCAACATTATTCCTGCTCTTTGCAGATGTTAAAATCGACTTCAATGCATTGCCAACAAATGGCCGCAACAACAGCAACAACAATAATAACAATGATGACAACGAGGCAGGCAATGAGGATGATGGCGATGGCGTTGACGTGCCAGACGTGACGTCACTCTCAATTCAGCTGAAGAGCAAAGAGCGCGAACGGGAACGAACACGGGCAGAGGCCCGGGCTGTACATGCAGCAGGTGCAGGTGCTGGTGCAGTCGCAGAGACAGCAGCAGCGACAGCGCCAGATGTGGAACGCAAATATGGCCAAATATCGAATCATATATATCTGCTCTATATGCGCGCCTCCGGCCTGCCCATAATCATTGTCTTTTTTATCACCGCACTAATTTGGCAATGTTTGCGTGTCTACACGGACGTTTGGCTCCAGCATTGGAGCGACCATGTCGATGGGGGTAGCAGTAGCGACACTGACATGGATGCGGCCAGCCACGAAGTCACGTACTATTTTCGCATGTATGCAACAATTTCGTGTGTTTGCATTATAATGGCCATGATATCAACACCGGCCGGACAATGGGCCGGCTGCAAAGCCAGCCGTAATTTGCACGATAAACTGTTGCTAACGATTTTGCATAAAACTTTGCATTTTTTCCAAGTGACGCCGCTCGGACGCATTCTGAATCGTTTCAGCACCGATATGGCGATCATTGATAAGGTAAGATTTGTTATTTTTATCAGCTACCCTGTGTGCAATAAACAGCTGAGATGGGTATGCTAATTGTGTGAAGAGAGATGGGGGCTGGCTGAACTATAAGTCTATTCGAATGAGTGGCTGAAGAAGATCTTTATGTAGACAGATTTATATAAATTATATAACATATTACAATTTTCATATTTTTTGATGATTGCTGAAATATCATAGAGAATTTTACGTAAAAGATTTATAAAAATTGTATAACATTTATATAACATTTTTATTTTTTTATTTTCTGAAATATTATAAAATCAACATATGTATTATCTAAACTTGAATGTTACTTACTGAATGAGAGAAGGGGCTGGGGAACTATCAACCTATTCGAATGATAGGCTGAAGAAGCTCTTTACATATATTACGCCACAGATCTATATAAACTTAATAACATTTACATAGAACTTACCTATATATGTATGTAGTAACCAGATTTGAATATTACTTTACTTTGATTTTACATCTCCAGTAATTAAATTGGGAATATTACCAGAGCCGGGTAATACACGCGTGGTATACTTACATGCCTACATTTACTTTATATATATGTATATATATATCCATCAGTAGATACATATATATATCTGCATAATTTTCGGTTAGCTTTTTGTATTGTGCAGCATAAAATATGAGCACATTGCCTGTTGTTTCCCCTGTTGCTGTTGTTGTTGTTGTTGTCGTCTCTGCTTTAGATTTGGAGCTGATAAGCACGCATTATGCATTGATGTTTTGCATATATAGGAATAAGTGTGTGTGTGTGTGTGTGTG